TAGGAAACAAAACTTCCAGAACACGGCCACACAGCCCGGAAGTCCCACACCAGCCATGGTGTTGTTGTAAACTAGTTTTCTTTGCTTTTTAAAAATGTCATGAAGTTAGGCAGCTTTGGGCTTCATGGTTTAGTGACTGTGGTCTAAAGAACAGATTTCCTGACGTTTTGCTGGCAACTGTGGCTGTTACCTTCAGAGGCAAAGTCTATGCATTCTTTGTCCAGAAAGCATCTAACTCTCTGTCTGCTCTGGTTTTAACTCTGGAGAGGGTTGCAATCCCCCTGAAGGAACAGTATATAATTTGTGTGTCCTCCTGATCATAGCTATTGCTGGGTTTGCAGCGGGAGGCCTTGGTCAGCTTTGGCTAGTATACCAGCTGCATCCCTCCTTGGAATAGGAAGTTCTAGCAACAGAAACTCATGCTGTCATCACCACCAGGAAAGACTACCACAATGCCCTTTACATGGAACTGCTGCCTTGAATATTATTTACAAACTGCAAATGGTGCAGAATGCAGCTCCCATGTGCTGATGGTGAGAACCATTATAGCCGTGAGACACATATACTGCAGGTGGTGCACTGGCTTCTAATAGGTTTCTGGGGAATTCAAAATGCTGTTTTTGGCAGAGCCCTTCATGGCTTAGAAATGAGGTAGAAGTGACCCATCCACTATATTCTTTCTGGCTGGGAATGCTGAGTGTTCTCCAGATACAAGGAGTGAGAAATGGGGGGCGGGGGGCAGAGATGGTGCTTCTCTTTGGTGGACCTGACCTTGTGGAACAGCCTTCTCACCGAACATTGGGTTGGTGCAAATCCTGGCATCCTTTTGTAAAGCTGCCAAGACAGAACTTTTCCACAGGGTATTCAACAATTAGTGTTACTTGATTACTGCACCAATGTATTTGTAATTGCTTACTCTTTAAGTAAGAGTAAGCATTCATTTTATGTTATTATTTATGGTTTTAATTATATTCTATTATTTTAATGGCTTAGTGTAAACCACCATGAGTTGCAAGTATTGGCGATATGCAAGCACAATTAATTAATTAATTGTTGTTGTTGTTTTTTTAAAAAAACACTGCACCAAATCTAGAGAGTGATTCACAATACTGGATATAATTCAAAATGTTATAGCTCATCTTGCAGCTAAATGTTATGAAATATCTTCATCACTAAATTTGTCAAGGAAATTTTCAGAAGCTAATAATTCAGAAAATAGCATTATTTTTTCTGTTATGAGAAAATTTTAGAAAACCCACAAGCAAAATGCATTTCATTTTGAAAGGATCAGTGTTTTTGAAAAAGAAAGAAAAAAGGATTAGATAATTCTGGTCCACACACTGGGTTCTTCCATAAAGCATCATTTTCACTCCATTTCTAGCACTCAAGCCTTCCACACCAATCTGAAATTGACGTTCTACTAACCCAAAACTCTAATATAATATCAGGAAACCATAAGCCAATCAATTCTATCTCTAACTGAACAACAGAAGATATTTTCTAGAAAGGACCATGTCTTGCCCCCAGAAGTGCCACATCTCTTAGACTGACAACCATCCATTGGATCCCACTGCATACAAACAAAAATAAATTGCTAGCATCCATTTTCAGCATGTAGTGTATGAATATGGTTGTTTCCAAAAAATACTAAAAGCGATTACAAGAGGAAACCACCCTCCTATGAATCACTATTCCTTCTGGTTCTATTAAAAGGCCTCCCTGTGCTGGAAAGATAACATGGTGGCATTTTTACAACCAGGTGATTTCCCAATAACTCTAACCATACACTCATGCATACAGTGGGGCAAAAAAGTATTTAGTCAGCCACCAATTGTGCAAGTTCTCCCACTTAAAAAGATGAGAGAGGCCTGTAATATATAGGTATACCTCAACTATGAGAGACAAAATGGGGGAAAAAATCCAGAAAATCACATTGTCTGATTTTTAAAGAATTTATTTGCAAAGC